GAGATTTACTCCAACAACTTTCAACTAATGAAATATCTGCCAACATGGATGACACGTGGCATCATTATACTATTTTGCAAAAATGGGTGTAAACAATGCCCCCCAAAACTTGGTTGCACAACTTCATGGAAGTGGAATCAAGTTTTTGAAAATTTTGTTCCTAGCACTCCTCGCCATGTGGCCATTGTAAAGGAAGCATGATGTCTCCAAGAACGTAGAAATTTGAGATTGTTGTTTTCTTCAGCATAGCATGGAATATCATCTAACAGACACAGTGGCTTCATAGATAAATAAGCCAGCTAAAAGTGTATCTGCAAAAAAGGTAAAATATAGCCTCCAAAAAGAACAATTCCATGAATTCCCTTGTTTGACATGGAGACATAACTCAAGTACGCTTCCACAAAAAGCATAGTGTCTTAAAAGCAATGCCATCTCACAGCCTTCCTTAAAGCCGCTCAACTGCAAGATTATTCACACTAATTGTAGAAAATTAAAAACAAAAACTAAATTCAATCTGATCTTCACCCAAACCTGACTTAGGCAAAGAGATTATTTCCACTTCGATCTACTGCATGACTTACAGACCGAAGGGCAACATGGCTGAAAAGGTAAGCCATTTATTTTTGTGAGGTGCAGACTACCGTCAAGGTTTTGTAGCCAGTATGTGCCTTCATCTAATGCGTTGTGCATTTGCAAAGATTTCATATTACTAGCAAAATGTCTCCTAGGCAGCATGCTTTTAGTTGACGGCAGCATTCCTCCTCTTGGAACGAAGGTTGCAGCATCCTTCTTATGATTCTTCCCTTTGTTTTCTTTGGCAGGCATGTTTGCTTTGTTCTTTGCTGCCCCTTTGCTATTAGAGGCTGCATCTTGCTTCCTTGTGAAAACAAAAGGGAGATTTGGATTGGAACTTGGAAGTTCAGTAATAAACTCACCAAGGCTAATTGTTTTGCTGCTGACATTAAGCTCCTTAGCTGCCTTTGAGTTATTTGACTTAAAAGGAACACACTTGGCAGAAATCTTTGGAGACACGATTGCATTGACTAAATTTTGATTTGCCTCTTGAGAAGCTGCACTGTGTTTCTTCTTCTCCACCCAAATAAACTTTTGCCTCCCTGGCGGTTGTTGCCATTGCGAAGCATGCACCTCGGCAACATGTCTTCGACACTTTTTAAGTCTTTTCTTTTGAAGCCGCCTTCGAAGAGTCCTAGGATTTTGGGTAGGGAACTCTTGGCAGGCCACCAAGTTTATATGGCGACAATGTCTAAATTGACTTTGTTCATAGAGACAGCATTTGCACATGCCTCCATGCTTTTCTACGAGATCATGCCCCCCGTGCCTCCACTCAGAGACATGGGTTTGTTGCTTTTGTTCCTTCATTGGTGTCCAACAGAGGTCTTTAGATTTCTTCCTCCTTCTTCGACTTGGCATATGTGATGGCATGATGTTTCTTATGCCGCCTCCCATGTTATCCTTGTGGCTGCAAGGAAAATCTGGGAATTTCTTGTGAAAGCCATTTTGGAAAGAATCATTATTTTTTGAATATGGCCTACAGCATGTTAGACAACATGGTGGCCTACATGCCGCCTGAGTGGCCTTTGGCAATGAGTCTGCAAATTGCTGAGGTGGACTAAGCTTGCACACATGCTTTTGCTGTGGCGGCATTGATTGGATGCTTGAATTGGCATCAGGCTGCAATGGCACAAGCCTTGCTACCTCCTTTTCTACAGCTTTGTGAACTTCATTGGCAATAAGGTCTTGCAACCTTTGCTGTTCAATCTGACTAGGTTGCCCCCCGAGATTGGAAATGACTCCCCTTTTTAGACTAACGACTTTAAAAGGATATTTCACCTTTAGCCATTGTCCATAATTGAACTTGGAAGGGCTTCGACCACTAAGAAAGCATGGTCGCCGCGAACACTTCTTAAGCCAGGCTGAAGAAACATGCTCATTAGTCTCGAAAGAAGTAGAAATAGATGAGGTGGATACCTTATCACATTTATGTCCTGATGCTGGCCAAAGTGTTGGCTTTTGTGTAGCAGCATCAACTTTTTGTCGGCCATCATATGGACCTTGATTGATCGATGGCTGACATGTCTGCACCTGAGTTGGTTTATGCCTCCCAGGAGTAAGAGGACTATTGCTAGTATTAGTCTTTGCAGACTTAGAATGACTTGGAGGCATACTTGTTGAAGTCGCCTCCAAAGCTGCATG